GGAATAAGTACGAAATTTCTCGCCGTCGTTTCCTATAAACTTATAGAGTGTGTCTATTGTCTAATGTATATAAATTCGTTTGCTATCCGTGTTTTAAATATTTACCGCATAAGTTTGTTCGTGTGTGTGTGTGTGTGTTTTTCCCCCTGTTGACAATGAAAACGTTTTATTGTGGAAGCGAAATAATAAAAAAAAAAAACGAACCAAAGGGAAAACGAAGAAAACCCACAATAAAATGTAGACCGATTCACGCAGAGCAAACGATATAGTCACGAAATACAATTTGCGAATCTCATTCGATGACCAAGCTACAGTGGTGCTTTTTTTGGTATCATCCTCCTCTTTCGCCTCAAAAAGATTTTGAAATTACTATTAAAAATATAAAATCTTATAAATAAGTATTTAATACCAAACCATATGATATCTACTTTATATTCAGAGAGAGCCACACATTTTATCTTTTAAAAAAGAATTTTATACTTAAACATTTCTAAATAAATACAGTTTAAAAATATAAAAAATACTCAATTTTCCGAATTTATTTTTTATCAAGACACATTATATATTATAATATGTATGTATGTAACTACATACGTAATTTATACTATTGGTAATAACTCATTGTTAGTGAATATCCACTGTGTGCTCACTCTCTCCATTAATAAAGCTCCACGAACAGATAGATCAACCTTTTCCTTAAGTTTTAGACATTTTCCAGTTACTTCTCTCCCTTATTAATGAGATTATTTCATGTATAAAATATATTGTGTTATAACAAAATCGACTAATTAATTTAACATTTATGACCCACTATAGTAAATGAAATCTTGCTCTAATGAGTGTTCAATAGACTTTACTGTGTATTGTTATCCATTTCATAGCTGTGTGACACAGACAATTTTCTTAAAAAATCCCCTGTAATAATTTGTAAACTAGGATAGTGGACAATTTAATTATATTTTAAAATACCTTGTTATTTAAACTGTAAATATTTTACTGAAAATTAATTAATTTATTCATTTTTTAGGTCAAATTTGAATTAAAACTTAATGGATTTTTATTGCATTGTTTTTATGATAAATTGTATTAAAAATCTCCAAGAGAAAAAAAAACATTCTTTCAATTGTTACCGAAAATTCAACTCGATCTATACAGTGCAAACTACATTATATAGGTACTCTCCATTCTACTATGATAAAACTTAGGATAGGTACACTGTACATTTTAAATTTTATTTTCCTGAGGTGTCCTAAGTTTTCTTATCACGTGTTATACTTGTGACGAAGTCTACACTCGGCTTTTTTTTTTTTTGGTTAGCAAACAACATTTGTAAATACAGTGTATAGACGACAAAACAATAGTTTCGGTAAAATGTTAGTATTGATCAAACAATAGTATCAATTATTGATACGTTTTAAATTCTGAACGGAGCGAAGAATTTATAAGTTTTACAAATATGTTAATATTTTTTTAATTTTATGTCAACAATTATTCTACCAGAAAACTTACTCCGATATATACGATGTAGGCACTTATCTGAAAGGAACTTTTCTTAGAGCGGTAGTTAATGGAGGTTATTTTTCGATTCGATTTTCTCAGGAGTTTTTCATCAAATGTGAAAAATCGGGGGGAAACCGGGAAAAACGTAGGAAAAGCGGGAAAATTGGTACAATATTAAACAAATATTATTAAAGAAAATATATAATGACTATTTAATTATTGTACCTTAATATAATATGTATATATATATATATATATTGTTGACAAAGCAACACTATCCACTGAACTCCGCTCAGAATCGTTTTTTCGTTAGAAATTTTTGAACTCAGCAATTTAATGAGGTTCATCATAAATTGTATAAATATAAATAATGATGAAAAAAAGTTTTATAATATTTTTTTTTAAAGCATTTCAAGTCTAATTGTAATCGTAAATACTAGGACATTTCAAAACAAGTTTAACCGAACTTCACTCAGAATCGTTTTTCGAAGCATACAGATTTAAATCGAATATTACCTTCTAATATGTACCCTATCTTTCCAACTTTCCGCCTACAGTAATGGCATACCTGTCAATAGTGTAACAATCGGTGTAATTTGTATCATAATTTTAGGTTCCGAGCATAGCGAGGGGAACTATTGATTTTACAATGCTGTTTATCTCTTCTTTTTTTTTCTTTGTTCTTTATTCTCTGTTCTAGTTTGTGGGCACGTCTTTTCCTAGTATACTTGCTTCAATGTATAAGTGTAGCACTTTTTCTGAAAGTTCAAGTTGTCTAAATTATACTTAAACGAAGTCATTTTTTGATTTTCAACGTCATTTTTTAAATAAAAACAAAACGTAAAAAAACGTGGGAAACGTACAATTTTATGATTTTGTTATTTTATAACACACACGACGTTTTCCACCAAAAATGATTTAATCGAAAAATCACAAGACACCTTTTTTATTGCCTTTTGATTTCCTTTCTTACGGTATTATAGCCAAAACTTTTGAGCCATTTTTGAGCTTTTAAGGAATTTTAATTGTAAGTTTTTTGTTTTAATTCGATTATAAAAACACGTAGAGACTTGAAATTTGGTAATAATAATTATATTGAACTTATCTAGACGTAGTGAAATTTCCAAAATCATCGGACAACTTTTTTTTTTTTAATAAACGTTTTGAAATAAAATTTAAACGAAAATCGCAAAAAAAATTACGGCATTTCAAATTACGTATTACCGAACTACGCTCAGAATCATTTTTCGTCAAGCAATGGTTTACCGTTGCTTACAAATATAAATTAAATAACCTTATGTATTCTACCTTTCCAACTTCTAAACTACAACAGTGGCCGCTCCCATTCCCAGTATCAGGGTCTTTTTCTTTCTTTTTTTTTTAATTTGTTGATTTTAATTATAACAATTAATAGCGTTTTTGATTTGTGTTACAGGAAAAGCCGAATTGTACATTATACTCGCCCTGTTAATCGGAATGGCCACCGTTATAGTGGGCTGTTGGCTGTCGGACAATTGTTGGTCACCCGAACCGGAACAACACTACACGATCGCGTGGCACGACCGTCACCGGTGGATATGAAAATTTTGTGAACCGATCGTCCGCCTCCTCAGCTACTCATACCGCACGAATCCCAAAATGTAATAATAATAATAATAATAATAATATAGGTACGACAAAAATATAATTAATATTTATTATATTCACGTGTACAATAACAATATAATGGTTATATGTTTATCATGTTATTATAATACTTTTGTTCGTTTTCGGGCCGTCGTCGCAGAGATCGTAAATCGCTGCGAATTATTATTGTAAAACGACGGACGGATGAACGGACGGACTCCCTACAATAATATTATAAATTGATTGTCATTTGAACGTTCCGGCGGAAGTAACGATTTTGACATTACCGAGCTCGGAAACGATAACTTAATATTATATACATATATATTATTTTTTTATGATAGGTAATAAATTACTAACACGACTAAATTAACAAGCGCGTTTGTAAAGCAATTGTTCTGCGCACATAAAAAATAAACAAATAAACGATTAAAATTGGTTGTTGCAAGTTCCCTTCGGACATGTCTGAGGTACCTTCCCGGGTAAAACGTCACGTATATTTTCCAGAGCATACCCGTTTAAAGCATTTTTTTTCGCGGCACATTTGGATAGTTATCGGATACGACGATTAGATCGATCTTTGTGGTAATTTCTACGTATTTACACACGCGCGGGAGCAGTTAGGATAGGTTTATTCTCAAAATGAAAGTAAAAAGATTTTAATTTTATAATATGTTTAATGGGTAAAACCGATTGCGTTTATTTTTAATGAAAAAAAAAATAGACTTTCATGTATTTATTTTTTTCGTCCTATTGCACTCCTATTAAACCGCAATCACTACAACTGTGGTCAATGCTTGTTTTGCAATTTTTCTATCCGTTAACTGGTATACAATGTAAAATAAATTACACGTAGGTGGTATACGTAATTGTCATGCCGATTTATTATAGGTATTAAACCGGGTTTATCTCGTTCTTCGTTAACGCTTACGCCGTATAATAATATTATATATTAGGCACGAAATGACAATTTACCTATCCGTCGGGGATTTCGAGGACTAGAACCGAGGCCAACGACCCGCTACGCGCGTCACGTTGAAATGACGTTTGTTTGCCGGCGGGTGCGACCGCTCGTTCGTCTCTCGTCTCGACGCGCAAAATGTCGTTTCCATCGGGCGGGGGTCAAAGTCCGCCCGACAACCGGGGATCTTTCGATAAACTCGTATCACTCTGCACCCGTCAACCCGCGAGGACAACAAAATGCACGCTTTGCAGCCAAAAATATTATAATAACTTAATTATCAACCGTTCTCCCCCCCCCCACAAATGTATTATTCGTGTAGATAGTTAAAGAGTGAAACGGAAAAAATACAAATATAATGTATACTATAATGTTAGGCATGTGTTGACAGTGCAGTTTTCGGTAAACAGTTTTCTGTATTTGTCGGTACCTGGTTACAATATAACCGAAACGTTTTATTTGCCGCGTACAGTATTTCACCAATAATGGATAACCAATACCTAATCGTAGACTGTAAACGTACCTAGTTTTTAATTCCGTCGCGGATCCCGGCAACCTGGATGTCGAAACATGCGTTTATCAGCTGCCAAACAATTCGCTACAGTAAACTAGTATGTTCGTTAAACTAATAATCTGGTTGCTGAAAACTGCATCGCCAACACACGGCTATTGTGATAGTTACAATAATAATTATTGTTATTTATAGGTAACAATAAATACGCAACATTCAGAACACTGCAGATTTTGAACGTGCGTTTTTCCTTCTAGTTGTCAATTATATTTACACAATATTGTATACAATTCTATTATATATTTATATATATAATAGAATATATATATATATATATATATATATATATATATATATATATATATATACATACCTATTTATATGTATAACGCACTCGCGTACGTGATAATGTTACGAAAAATATAATATCATTTCACGCTGTTTTTTTTTGCGTATTGACTGTCAATTACTTCGAAAAAAAAAAAATAAAAAATTAAATACGTTATACATATACTATGATAATATAGACTATAAATGGTATGAAAACAATAGTAGTAGCGAGAAAGAACTATTGATTTTATCCAATAGGTACTTTGTGTGTGTATGTAAAAACCTATTGTAAACGTTAATAATAATACTGTAAATTGTCGTTATAATAAAATATACACGAATATATTGAGTGTGTTATGTTATAACATACTGGTTTATTGTTTTTTTTTTATTATTCTTTGTAATAACGCAACGGGTTCGCCAGTTGATAAGTACGATAGTACACTGCAATGTCGTAGCCAGGATTTCTCAACGAAGGAAGGCCACAAAAAAACAAACACAAAACTACTATACCGTGTAAATACGCAGTGAAATAGCCTTATACGAGCGCGAAACGATTCTGATAAAAATATTTTTTAAATACGGTACCGGTGCCACGCCCCTCCTCTCACCGTCTGGCTGCGTCACTGCAAGTATATCGTATAAGTAGTACGAACATTTAAATATCCGCACTCACTCATCAATATTTATATATATACATATATGTATACTAATTTGTATAATCCTTGGTTTTTAAAATTATAATGCACAAGTATTGTACGTGTGTACTATGTATACTGTATGTTATTATACATGCATAATTCATAAAACAAATATTATACTTAAGCTAATAATTAATACAAATTGAAATACGTATAAATATATGCTTATTTCAAGTTGTGTGTCCAAACGAAGTTGTAAATCTATTTTAATGTAATTTTCGGCTGTATTACGGATAAATTACACCTATTGTATACCTATGTATAAAAAAACTTGATCAATGTATCATTAAAATAATATATTATGATGTTTTTCATGCACCTTTAAATATTGTAAGATATATTTTATAACGTGGAGATGAATATTAGTTCCTGTTATAACAACTTACTAATATTTCTATTTTAGAATACGTTTTTTATAATATATCTAAATGTTAAAAATAAAAATACAAAAAAAAACAAAACATAAACAAAAATATTCATTGAGGTCCAAAAATATAGTTCAGTAAGTCGTTATAGGACTATAAGCTTGCGTAAAAACAAAAAAATGTTTATGGTAATAAGTATACATATTATAATATTGTAATATATATTTATTATGATTGAAACACACAAAAATAAAAAAAATAAAACAGTATATTAAGTTACCCCTGTGTACCTAAATATTAGAATGTTACTTTTTTTTAATATTATTTAAAAATACAACATTAAATAAAATAGTTATATGAACTTTGAATTATTACAATTTTATTTAACCTTTATATTTTAATTCCTAGACTACTGGAATTACTGAAAGTTATAGACTGAACTACAAAAAGATCAACAAATTATTACATTCACGCTCATGAAATGTGATACCACTGTTTTAGTAATCCAATGGTTATAATATTATATTACTTTACGAACAATATAAAATGGATACACAATCAGCTGAACAATTTTTGTTTACTTGTGATCAAAAATCTAAACAAATGATATACGTTTGGTAGATCAACACAGGAAGATACGAGTATAGGAACTGTTTTGGCCGTGTCACTTCATAACTAGGTACACATTTAGATAGTTTTAGGAGATAATCGCAAGTACACTGGTCGATGATTTTTATGAGCTATTTATCTTGTGCGAATAAAGTATTCTAAATATTGTATTCAAAATAATTATTAAATATACTGAATATTTTAATAATACTTTTTTTCAGAAGTATTCAATACAGTATTTCAAAAATATTTTTTTTCTTAGTCTCGTTTTAGTATGTTTAATGCTTAATTTAAAGATGTAATCTTTACTTTCTCGGAAATCCCTTTCGGTCGGTAAAAATATTCAGATATGTTCACGCATTACTTTAAATTTTTATCCGGTGGTAATGAATTTAAAATATTTCGCGAAATTCCGAACAAATAAACTATAATGAAAAATCATGTTACCTATCATCATATTAATATAGCAGCTATAGTTTCCTTAAGTCATCTTAACTTAACCTCGATTTTTTTTAACACGCATTCCATAAAAAAAATTGCTGTAAAATATTTGAAAACATTTTATTCTATATCTTTTAAAACAAATATTTCACCGAAGTCTGATTATCAATATATTATCGTACGAGACCTTTTTTTGACCCAGTCTTAAAGGGTTAGCAATTGTAGGTTAATAACGGCGTGCGTGAATATTATTACAGCGTTTAATATAATTTAATTAAATACGGTTTGATTAATACGACAATAAATTAGATATTGGATATAAGTGGATTACTTCATTAGGTATTATCACAGCAGGCGATGACATAATATAATATTATAGTTTAACGTATTGGTAAATTAATTAGGATTTCGTTGTAATGACGTTATAAAGTTATCAATTTATAGTACCTATAAACAAAATTTTATTGATTAATGTAATATACTTTTGATACTAAAACATAGAAATGTAATATTTTTATTTGCCGAACCAAAAATGTTTTGAACAGTACTCTGTGTTTGTATAAAAGTTTTTTTTTTTTTTTTTGGAAAATTGGAATTCACAGACACATTTTATTTTTAAAAAGTAAAAAAACAAATAAAGGGGAACATTTGTTTGGCTTGTAGTTTCCTGTTGTCATTAATAATTTTTTTTTATATACAGAGTTGATTACATTATTGTTATGTTTGGTTCAATAAAAAATTTAATTTTAGGAAAATTAATGATTTCGTATACTTGACATTCGTATCTTCCATCATAAACTTCATTACTGCAATCTATATACAAAGAAAAAGTTTAGATTTCGGTGCAGAAATACCATAGCCATCGTTGTGAGGAATAAAAAGTAATTACATTTTTGAAATAAAAGCTTATCACACCTTTTTAATTATTTCATCTCGAATGACCAAATTCAAAATAACTTCATATAATATATATGTATCCAAACAATTATTATTCATAGCGAAGAAATCGTTACATACCGAAAATTTAACAGACTTTTATAGGTACATTTTATAAAACATAACGAAAGCATAAAATAAAAATCGCTGAATGAATTATTTGTCATTTTTAATAACTTGTAGTAAATATGTGTAGTGTTTTAAATGTTTGAAACACTTAAACTGTTCGAGAAATGTTTAAAAAAAAATTCGCATTTAATATAGTCTCTTATATACGTTTATAATCTAAAATATCAAATATTAATAAATGACAATCGGACAACCTTTAAAAATTATAGAACACTTTTTATTACTATACTGTGCAAATAACTGTTGAAAATGACGTACCTATATACACATAGGGAACAAACTATATTTTCAAAATTATTTTTATTTCTGACTAAATGTTGAGCGTTTTATGAAAAAACACCAAGTGATCGTTTACAATAATATTTGACATTCATTCTCCACAACTCGGTAATTATTCGTATACGTCATTTTGCTCGATCAATAAAAACATTTAGACATTTAACTGTTTTAAAATGAAAAAAACTTTAAACACTAAGCACAAAGTTTCTGATGTGGCATTATTTTATTTGATTTAGTATCCTAAAATTTGAAATAATGCAAATGCTAGCAATTTTCAATTGAGATTTCACATAATACTGCTACAACGACTTTAAAAACGGTAATTCGTACGGATTTCTTCAAAATCATTATTGTGGCCTGCAAGTGGTTTTTATCTTTATAAATATATATACATATACGTGTATTTACGAGCACTAAGGAGAAAAATAACGTACATTAAGCCGACCAAGGGTGATTTTAAATTTTCAGTTGCATTAAAAATTAAGTAGCATAGCGGAATTGTTACTTGTAAGAAAACGATGCATTCTTAAAAGCCATGTTCTATTTGAATAAATATAACATTATTTTTATCAATTTAAATGTAATATTACGCCTGGTTTTTTCAACCATTAAAAATGAATCGTTGTACTTCACAGCTGATTATTTCAGGTAAGTATAGTAACTTTTACAGTGTTTTTATTTGTTACCTAAATGTTTCTCATTTCGAAATTGTAATAATCAAAAGAAAATAACAAAACTACTAAACTAATTGAAGACCATAATATTGTATAACAAAGTGATAAAAAAAAATAAATTAAAAAATATGATTCAATTTCGAATGTTTCTGAATTATATTTTATATTATTTCACTGCGAAAAATATTTCATTATGTTCACAGTAAAATAAAATCAATTTGTACAGAGCATTGAAAGATGCCTATTGTTGTTTTGATGATCGAAATATTATAAATGTGTTTTCGTATTTTTCACAGTAGGACTTAAGCACCAAATATTCTTTAATGTCAAAATTCAATATTTAAAGTATCCGTCAATGAAATATGTATAAAACTAATTCTTGCTGTCTAACTTTACAAGTTAATGTGTATATCTAAATAACAAGTTCAGTCCATTAATATTAATCTTAAAAAAAATTAATTTTTTTTAATAAGTCAAAAATTTAAAATGCTTGTAAATGCAGGTAGGTATATATTTACCCATAATTAATAATAATATTACTATATTTCTTTAATATATGACTAAGATTTGTTGTTTTTTTGGGTCATATTTTATTCAACCTATATACGAGTAGGACATTTTGTACCTAACCAAGTTTATTCAAAACTTTTCCTACTCACTAGTTTGCATATAAACAATTTCTGTTAAAATATTTAGGTATATGGTAAATTATACAATAAGAATATATTACATCAATTTTCATAGGTGGAATTATAAGACGAGAGGACATTTTATCATTTGATACATTCTATATTCAATTGCATCCATTTATTTTTTTATTTTTCTGTAATTCCCTATAACTGTCAAAGTACCTATAGAACATTCAATCTTATTTAAATAACCATCTAAAATCTAAGTAAAATTTTACTTGAATAGTTTTAAAAAAAAAAAATGTTCAAATTCAAAATTAAATGACTAATGTTCCTATATATTAACATAATAATTAACAAATTGGCGTGTATTTAATTTTATACACATTCAGTAATAATCTACAGGACAACAAATACAAGAAATTGATTTCATTGAGTTATAAATTGTTATTGTGTATCGTAAATTTGTGTGCGTAACCGATCATTGTACAGATATGTCAGTATGTGGGTAGCTATGTATGTACATACCTACCCACATTTGTCTAATATAATAAACGACACATATCGAAATGTCTTATAGGGATTTAATTATTTATCTAATAACAATCAATATAAATTATTATGGTACCGATATTGATATATAAGACTTCAAAGTCTGACCGCCAAAGGCTTGAAGATCGATGGTTGTAATATCGGTCACGGTGCAATTACTGCAGCGGGCGCGTTTTCCGAGTTCTACGGAAAAACGGTTATGAGATCGCGAGCGTAAACCCGACACACTCAAATCGTAGTAATTCCCATTTTCCGGTAAATGACCTTTTAATGGGCTGGTCTCTAGATTGCTAGCAGGCGTTATATATTTTGTATTTTCTTCAGCGCGAGAACGTGTTCAAAACGGACCAACGAGATTTAATGCAAAACATTAATAAATTAAAAAGTTAAATTAATTTTTAATTTTAACTATTATTCGCTTTTACCCTTTGATTTTATTTTAATAAGTAACTTTTATCTTGGTTTATTTGGACTTGTGTTTGAACATATTCAACATAGCTCTTAATGAAAAATGCGCAGCTCTAATTAAACGCAAATTTTAACTTCTACATATTAATAATTAATCCTGTAGTAAGTGCCCGCGTAGATGTGATCTATTTTATTATAGTAAACACGAAATGTGAAATTTAATGAATACAATGATGAAAAAAAAAAAACAGTAATTTTTCAAAATGAAAAAACGTCAGAGTTAATCACAGATAGATATTAAACATTGTGTTGTGCCCACCTCGACCCCCCCGATGCAACGGCCATGCAAAGTTCAAAGAAATATTTAATTTATTTATGTTTATATTTACATATGTATTTATGTATATAATATTATATATATGTATGTATAATGTTTAATAGTTGATTTTGAATTATACTATCAGTTAAGTTAGTTTTGATTTTTTTTTTTTTTATAACAAAACAATAAAGTAAATAAATATATGAATAAAAATGTATATATATATACATATATATGTATTTATATATGTAATATATAAATGTATTATACGTAAAACAAGTGATATTATAATATAAGTGTATTATACGACC